TTGTATGAACATAATTGTTCCTTGGCTTCATCGTGCTATATTTAGAAACCTATATGTAGCCAATCTCGCCTCTCTTTCCAAAAGAATTTGAAGGGGAGGTAGGTCGAGTAGGGTTTCCATAGCTTTTGACGGCGTGGAATGGAAGGCACCAGTCACCGCTAAGCATGCTTGTCGTTGTAGTTTCGACAATTTATTCTTTGCCGTTGTTTGGTTGGCTTTCTGCCACCAGGCAACTGCACCATACGTGATAATAGGTCTGATGGCAGTCACGTATAACCAGTACATATTTTTGGGGTTTAATCCCCAGTTTCTACCACGAATTCGGCGGCATGCCCATAGAGCATAGCAAGCCTTTTTTGATGTTTTTTCCAGATGAGAGGTCCAGCTAAGTTTTTTGTCCAGGTTTAATCCTAGATACTTAACTTCCTCGGCAAACGGAATTGTCTCACCAAGAAGAATGGGCGGTTTCAGTTTGTCTGTTTTCCTTCTTCTGGTGAATGGTATGATCACGGTTTTCTGTGGGTTTACACTTAATTGTTCCAGTGTGCACCAGCCGTGAATTGCATCTAGGACTCCCTGTATTTTTGAGGAGATGTCCTCCTCTTTGTGTCCTTTTACTAGGATTACCAGGTCGTCTGCATATGCTTGTGCTTCAACCTCGTATGCATCGATGATTGCCATCAGGTCGTCCGCTAACAGGGTCCACAGAAGAGGAGAGAGAACTCCTCCTTGCGGGCATCCTCTGCCCGGAACAAACCTAACGTACTCACCACTGAGCGAGGTCGTTGCTACTCGATTTTTGGGCATTTGCTTAATCCATTCAGTTATGGTTGCTTCGACTCCTCGTGCTTTCACAGCGCCTAGGAGCGATTGAGAGGTGACATTGTTGAATGCTCCCTCAATATCTGAGAATATCCCTACCGCAATTTCTTTGCGATCAAAGGTACTCTTAATTTCCCCTACCAAATTGTCGAGGGCCAGTTCTGTTGATTTTCCCTGTTGATAAGCATATTGTCGGACATTCAGGGGATTAGAAGTACGGGAAGACCAAGAAAAAGATGGAGTGATGACCTTACCATCGATTGAAACTGTAGTCATGATGTGAAGAATGAACAGGCAATCTGCCTAATATAAAGCAGGAAGAAGAAGAAGAAGAAGGTTTGGGATTGAATCTGTTTGTGGGGGGGGATTTAGCCGAGAAATCTATATGTTTCAATGTCGGTGGTTTAGATTTAGTCTGACTCGTTCTGATTCAGTATAAAATGCCTACGAAAACGCTGAAAAGGATGCTGGAAAAAGGGGGACTAAAAGTAAACCGATACTGTGAAAATTTTCCTCAACTTTACGAACAAGGAATTTACATTCCGAACGCGGCTTTAGAGAAAGGATTTACTCCATTTTACTTCGTTTTTTTAATAAAGCTCGTATCTGAAAACATATTAGCTGGATAGGGTTTCGATATTTTAATTTCTTGATTAGCTTCGTTTTATTCATTTGAACAATAGTTTGTTATAAGCTTAAAGCTATCTAAAATTCAAAATTTGAAGTTTGTGACACTTCTAGAAGTATCTTTGAGTACCTAAGAGTGAGTCGCTGGCGAAGTTAAAGAATTTTGACTAGAAAAAACTCATAATCCTTGAATTATTGTTGCTACATTCATCTATACTAATATACAGGGTTGTTCACCACATACGACACGGAGTATTGTGGCTAAACGATGATATTTTTACAAATTGTAAGTTTGGGGTTCGTTGAAGGACTATTAGAGCTACAATTTAAAAACATTTTTACAAGATACAGAGTGTCCCAAATAAATAAAAAATATCAAAGTTGTATTTTTTTAAATGGAACACCCTGTATATTATTACATTTTTAGTTTCTACGATTAAAATAAAGGTAAATTTGATTAAGGTTTATTATACTTAAACCTTACCGTTTTTGATATAATTTCAATTTTGTGAAATTGCAGTAAAAATTTTAAAGCTTCATTTCTCCAAGGGTATCAATGTTTTTAATACTAAATATTTAATGAAGTTTATTTATTGATCAGTTATTGTGTTGCAATAATAAAAATAATACTACCTTATACAGAGTGTCTAAAAATTTATTTTATATAATTATTAGCTTCAAACGGCAATAACTTCTTTAATTTAAATGGAATGCCCTGTATATTTTTGGAGAATCAGATGCACAATTAAATTGTCTATCAAATTGTATTATACCATTTTTTACCTATCCCTTCAAGTTTTCGTAGAAAATGCATTTTCTTTTAATTTAGACCTCATTTATCAATATATCCATGGAATATTGACATTTTAGATTGTTTTTAAAGCAACAAATGTACAAAATGTACAGACTAGTAATATTATCGTTTTTAGCAAAACGAAAATATAACACCATTATTTCCGCCCATATACTAATTAATTACATACTTAATTGTGTTCGTTAATAAATTATTATAAATAAATGTGGATTTGAGTCAGAAATCAATATAATAATAAGTTATCAAATTAAAGTCTCTGTTGTTATAAATAAGCATTTATTAAAAAATGAAATATCATTTTAAAGGTGTTACTTTTTATCACACTGTCTAATGCCCATACAAAATTCAGTTTTTAGTATTTGGAGCAATTATTATTAATCAACGCAAACAGTCAGTTAATGTAGTTTGAATACTGGAATCATATTAATTGATCCTCTTTAACAAATATTTAAACAGTTTTTTTTATTTTCTAATGAAATAAACGAATTATATCGACAATATTAGTATCTGTACTCTTTAAAAATTTGGTACATATTTAAAAATAATCTAAAATGTCAATAGTCCATGGGTATATTGATAAATAAGTTCTAAATTACAAGAAAATGCATTTTCTACGGAAACTTAAAGAGATAGGTAAAAAATGGTATAATATAATTTGATAGACAATTAAATTGTGCATCTGATTCTCGTAAAATATAGAGGGTGTTCCATTTAAATTAAACAAGTTATTGCCGCTTGAAGCTAATAATTATTTAAAATAAATTTTAGACACTCTGTATAAGGTAGTATTATTTTTATTATTGCAACACAATAACTGATCAGTAAATAAACTTCAGTAAATATTTAGTATTAAAAACTTTGATACCCTTGGAGAAATGAAGCCTTAAAATTTTTACTGCAATTTCACAAAATTGAAAATATTTCAAAAACGGTAAGGTTTAAGTATAATAAACCTTAATCAAATTTACCTTTATTTTAATCGTAGAAACTAAAAATGTAATAATATACAGGGTGTTCCATTTTAAAAAATACAACTTTGATATTTTTTACTTATTTGGGACACTCTGTATCTTGTAAAATTATTTTTAAATTGTACCTCTAATAGTCCTTCATCGAACCCAAAACTTACAATTTGTAAAAATCTCATCGTTTAGCTACAATACTCCGTGTCGTATGTGGTGAACAACCCTGTATAAAATCCTTAAGTGACTGACTCACTGATTAATCACGATCCTGGTGAAATCACTCAACATAAGAAGCTCAATTTTGGCATACAGGTTGATCCTAGGGTGTAGAAGTTCGATAAGAAGGGATTTCTCGAAATTCCAGTTCCAAGGGGGTGAAACCACCCCTCAAATATTACAATATTTTTTATTTAAAAAACGGTCAAGTTTCCCAAAAAACGCTTAAACACGTATATTTTATTTTGTTTTTTTACATAATTTAAGATTTTTTAAAAATGTATACAGAGTGATTCGAAAAATCTGGTCATTGATTAATCACGATCCTGCTTAAAGCGCTTGACGTTAAAAGCTGATTTTTGGAAAACGGATTGACTTTAGGGTGTAGAGGTTCGACAAGAAGGGATTTTTCGAAACTCGAATTCTAAGGGGGTGAAACTATCCCTCAAATATTTGAATATTTTTTTGTTTAAAAACCGGTGAGTTTTTCGGAAAAACTCTTGAACACGTATATTTTATTTTGTTGTTTTACATATTTTAAGATTTTTAAAAAATTATACAGGGTGTTTCATAAAATATGATCATCGAGTAATCACGATTCTGCTTAAACTGCATGACGTTTAAAGCTGATTTTTGGCAAACGGATTGACTGTGGGGTGTGGAGGTTCGATAAGGAGGGGTTTCTCGAATCTCAAATTTCAAGCGGGTGAAAACGCCCCTCAAATATTACAATAATTGTTATTTAAAAAAAGGCGAGTCTTTCGGGAAAACGCTTGGACACGCATAATATATAAAATTTTATCCAGTTTGTATGTTAAGAGAAATTCTTACTTTGCTTTATCATCACCATTACAAATGATTAATTCGACGCGAATGAAGTCACAGGTAAACGCTAGTATACGAATAAAATCAGAATAGACCGAGACTCAGAGAGAATTTGTTAGGTATGTTTATTAGCATTGAAGAAGAGATAGAATAATCGTAATAAAGTATTTCTTAAAAGTTTGACAATTAATTTAAGCAAATTATTAGATTTCCTCTATTAGTAGTTGGCCATAAATCTCGACTGCGAGATGCTATCTACGCGTGACACGTCGTAAAACATAGAAAATCTATACGCCAGCTTTTACCATACTTCCGCTCACTACCTACCAATCGATAGGAGACTGAAATTACACGTCATAAATTCTCCGGCTGTACTCCTTTCCCCCATACTCCATCTTTTTACCCTCCTCCCCCTCTCACGGTTTGTCTTTAACCCCTTCTCGTTTTCTACCCTTATTCCATCTCTGTCCTTACTATGGCTAAAATACTTGCCCCTTTTATTTTTTTACATATCAGTCTTCATTAAAAAACTATTGAGAAAGTCCTAAAACTATTTAGGACATTGTGAGGAGATGTTCTAGTTTTATAACAGTTAAATAATGATTGATTTAGCTAATTTTATAAAAAAGAACCTTCTGTGTGTAAAGGTGCTCATTCACATACAGTTCGCCTGCAGTTCTAAAACTATACAATTTGAACTGAAGATCTAAACTTTATTAGGCGTTACTTACCATAGAAAAAATGGGAGCCAGCAGGCCAAAAACGCCGAAACAATGATTCCCAGCGTTCTGGCTGCTTTCCTCTCCCTTCTCATCTTGCTGCTGGTTCCTGGATCGGATGCTGAAGCGTTGTTCTTCTCTGCTTCCAGACTTGCGTCCAGGGAATGCCTCAATGTGGTCAATCCTGCTGATATCCCGTTGATTTGGAGGTGCTTGTTGAGTAGGGCTGCTGCCACTTTACTTCTGTAGAGAAAATGAAGAGATGTTAAGAAGAATTTTCGTATATTTTGTTTTTTTTTTGTGTTTTGTGTGATTATGTACAGAATGTCTAGTAAAAGAGAACTTTTTTTGTACTATTTTGTGTATTCTAATAATTATATACTTCTGTTAGAAATGTATTTTTTATATACAGGGTTGTTCACCACATACGACACGGAGTATTGTAGCTAAACGATGAGATTTTTACAAATTGTAAGTTTTGGGTTTGTTGGAGGACTATTAGAGCTACAATTTAAAAATATTTTTACAAGATATAGAGTGTCCCAAATAAAAAATATCAAAGTTGTATTTTTTTAAATGGAACACCCTGTATATTATTACATTTTTGGTTTCTACGATTAAAATAAAGGGAAATTTGATTAAGGTTTCCCGCACTTTCATCTTACCGTTTTGGAAATATTTTCAATTTTGTTAAGCAATTCATTTCTCCAAGGGTATAAAAGTTTTTAATACTAAATATTTACTGTAGTTTATTTATTGATCGGTTATTGTGTTGTAATAATAAAAATTATACTACCTTATACAGAGTATCTAAAATTTTATTTTAAATAATTTCTAGCTTTAAACGGCAATAACTTGTTTAATTTAAATGGAACACCCTGTATATTTTATGAGAATTAGATACACAATTTAATTGTCTATCAAATTGTATTATACCATTTTTTACCTATCTCTTCAAGTTTCCGTAGAAAATGCATTTTCTTGTAATTTAAAACTCATTTATCAATATACCCATGGAATACTGACATTTTAGATTATTTTTAAAGATGTACCAAATTTTTAAAGAATACAGATACTAATATTGTCAATATAGTTTGTTTATTTCATTAAAAAATAAAAAAAACTGTTTAAATATTTGTTAAGGAGGACCAATTAATATGATTCCAATATTCAAACTACATTAATTGACTGTTTGCGTTTATTAATAATAATTGCTCCAAATACTAAAAAACTGAATTTTGTATCTGTATTAGACAGTGTGGTAAAAAGTAACACCTTAAAAATGATATTTCATTTTTTGACCAATGCTTATTTATAACAACAGATATATTCATTTTCATAACTTATTATTATATTGATTTCTGATTCAAATCCACATTTATTTAGAATAATTTATTAACGAACATAATTAAGTATGTAATGAATTAGTATTTGGGCGGAAATAATGGTGGTATATTTAATTAATGGTATACTCTTTTATAAAGAATTAAATAGTTTTCTTTTTGCATACAAATGGGCTAGTAATATTATAATTTTGCTAAAAACGATAATATTACTAGCCTGTACATTTTGTACATTTGTTGCTTTAAAAACAATCTAAAATGTCAATATTCCATGGATATATTGATAAATGAGGTCTAAATTATAAGAAAATGCATTTTCTACGAAAACTTGAAGGGATAGGTAAAAAGTCGTATAATACAATTTCATAGACAATTAAATTCTGCATCTGATTTTCCTAAAATATATAGGGCGTTCCATTTAAATTAAACAAGTTATTGGCGTTTAAATCTAGAAATTATTTAAAATAAATTTTTAGACACTCTGTATGAGGTGGTATTATTTTTATTATTGCAACACAATAACTGATCAATAAATAGACTTCAGTAAATATTTAGTATTAAAAACTCTCATACCCTTGGAGAAATGAAGCCTTAAAAATTTTACTGCAATTTCACAAAAATGAAAACATTTCAAAAACGGTAAGGTTTAAGTGTAATAAACCTTAATCAAATTTACCTTTATTTTAATCGTAGAAACTAAAAATGTAATAATATACAGGGTGTTCCATTTAAAAAAATACAACTTTGATATTTTTTATTTATTTGGGACACTCTGTATCTTGTAAAATTATTTTTAAATTGTACCTCTAATAGTCCTTCAACGAACCCAAAACTTACAATTTGTAAAAATCTAATCATTTAGCTACAAAACTCCGTGTCGTATGTGGTGAACAACCCTGTATAGTATTAATAAAAAATGATCAGACAAGTAACAATTTGAACGGTATCACTGTACAGGGTGTCCCAAAGGTCAGTGTAACCCATTGGGATAGTGAAAATTATAAGACAGACGAAAAAGGTCAAATTACTCTTGAGTTTGGGACACCTTGTATGATATATGTCAAAATATGAAGGTTTAGCATTGATTTAAAGTGTGTGATTGAGGAAATTACAAAAAAGGCATGACCATAAATATTCAAAAAGCACATCTAGCGTACAACAACATGGGAAACTTCATATTTTACAGTCAAAGCATTTAGAAAAAAAAACACTTTTATTTTTATTGGGTCCAACATGAATTTTTTAGCATTTACCATTGAGGATGTATCAAAAAACGGACAATTTTTGAGTAATTAGCATATTTAGCATACAATACAGAAGTACAGTACAGTGTTAACATTTTATTTTGTCTTACTTTTAACAAACTTTAACTTTTTTGAAGTGAACAGCTACCGCCATTACTATATGACATTCAAACAATTTAATTTTTCAAATAGATAGCCACGTGTCTTCTCTATATGTCACAGTGGCTGTGGTAATCACTAAATTTGACGTTTAGGCTATACAATTTTTTTTGTCAGGCAAATTTTTTTTTGTCAGGTAAAACAATGATGTGCAAAAAATCCCCGATCTAGATATTGTGGTTCTCTAGAAACTTCTAATGCACGCTCAGCCTGGGACACCCTGTATATCTATATAGCTCACTCTATATCCCTATATTATATCTATATCTCTGGCTAGAACTACAAAAGTTTGGCTTAAAAAAATACGAAAAAGTCAAAATTTGTCAAATATAAGGACAAAATATAATACAAGTACACCAAAAAAGGGAATTTCTGGACCAGACCTTAACTTTAGTGACCCATTAGGTGTTTGTTGGTAACGAAAAGATCCAACACTGGAACATTTCAACGATTCCGACTTTGCCGATCTCAAAGACGGCGATTTTGCGGATTTGTTGGACTTATTCGACTTTAATGAGCTGGATTTGGTGCGGTGTACCGATGCTGGTACTTCGACGATTTCGTCCAGACCGCTGGAAATGCCGTTGATTTGGAGGTGGTCGTTTAAGAGTGCGCCGGCAACCTTGTTTCTGAAATAGTGTTTAGAGTGTTGTGTATATCTACAGCTACGGAAAAAGTACTACTTAAATTATATAATATGTATAAAAATTAGAAGAGAACGACTTAACCAGAAAGAGATATTTTAATTTAGTATACATAAGAAAAAAATCTTATATTTTAATTTCTTTAATGTTGGATCAAAAAGACACAGTGTTTATGTGTTCAGTCTATCTTTTACTACATTTTACACCGACTGTCTTTTCAATGACAGTGACATTACAAAAACAATAAATACTATTTTATAAGTGTGTTGATGAGGACCCAAAGAAGGGATTATAGTTTCATAGTTGTCGATTTTCGAAAGAAATCAGTACATGTATATTATTTCGTATATTTTTCATTTTATTTATTTTATGGAAAGCACTGTTCATTAAAATGTTGTGTCTTATGTTATATGGCTCTACAATTTCCTGTTTTAGTACCGTTTGTGTCCGGGAAGGGTTCATAGTTTCATAGTTGTCGATTTTCGAAAGAAATCAGTACATGTATATTATTTCGTATATTTTTCATTTTATTGATTTTATGGAAAGCACTGTTCATTAAAATGTCGTATCTTATGTTATAGGGCTCTACAATTTCCTGTTTTGGTACCGTTTGTGGTCCGGGAAGGGTTCATAGTTTCATAGTTGTCGATTTTCGAAAGAAATCAGTACATGTATATTATTTGGTATATTTTTCATTTTATTGATTTTATGGAAAGCACTGTTTATTAAAATGTTGTATCCTATGTTATAGGGCTTGTTTCTCTCTACAATTTCCTGTCTGACAATGTACCGTTTGTGACCAGGAAGGGTTCATAGTTTCATAGATGTCGATTTTCGAAAAAAATCAGAACATGTACATTATTTCGTATATTCTTCATGTTATTGATTTTATAGAAAGCACTGTTCATTAAAATGTTATATCCTATGTTATAGGGCTTGTTTCTCTCTACAATTTCCTGTCTCACAATGTACCGTTTGTGTCCGGGAAGGGTTCATAGTTTCATAGTTTGTCGTTTCGAAATCAGTACATGCATATTATTTCGTATATTTTTCATTTTGCTAAAACCAACCATTTTGCAAACCGCTAAACCGATTTTAACCAAATTTGGCACAAAAATACTGTGGAACCCGAGAATCTGGCCATTAGTTTTTGGTGGGGGTGGGGGGTTGGTAAGGGGGTATGGGAGGGGGTTAAAAATTTAAAAAAATCGTAACTCCAAAATAAGATTAAGATTAGGAATAATATTTGCAACAAAATTTGTAATAACATCAAAATCAGTCAAAGTCGCAGTTTTCGAGATACTAAGATATTTTAGTATGGGCGGCTATACGTGCCTCCTGGCGCCAATTTTTATTTGTTTAATGTTGGATCAAAGGTTGGATCAAATCAAGGCTGGACTCAGTGTTTATGGGTACAATCTATATTTTACTACGTTTCACACTGACTCTATGCTTTTTTTATCCAAAATAAAGTGATGGTTGTCTAGTCCAGGAACCTCAAGTATGAGAACTTTTTGTAAGTTTATCGCTGTTTGCCAGCTTTCCAAATTTATAATGAACTGCACCTGTAAGAACAACATTAATCTTATGTCAAGAAGTTATTTAGTATCTATAGGAAAAATACGACCACACGCAGATATATTCCTAATGAATCACATCATAGTGTTGAACATAAAATGGCTAGTTTAAATTTCTTAGTTCATAGATTACTTAGTTTCCCACTTTCCAACGAAAGATATGAAATAGAAAGAGATTACATTAGGAATGTAGGTGAGTGTAATGGATATTCTCCTTCACTAGTTGATAAATTAATTAGAAAACGTAGGTATAGGTTAATGATTTCTGAAAATTAG